AAAACAAATAATTTAGTATATAAAAGTATTTTTGTTCGATTATTAGTAACGGAGAAAATTTAAAAAATTGTAAATTTAAAATTCCCATGTTATTCTTATGGAGAATGTTGTCAAATGTTGTAGTTTGCTTGTTTATGGATATATTTTGATCAAACTTGGCAAATTTATTTATTTTGTACTAAGCTATCAATATTTTACTCAAAAACACACTTTATTAGTTTCCTTGTAGCAGCAAACCTAGGTACTCGTTAAACCTAATGTTATTAAAATATATTTAACTGAAAATCAATTCAGACAAATGGAAATTCGCTTAGTCGGCAGGTTTGCTGCGGCGGGGGTATTATTTGTACACAAATATAAAGCTACATTATATTTCGATTTAAAAAACATCTAAATATTTTAGTCTTTAGCCTAGGAAATTAACTTAATCAATTAAGAAATCTATGAAAATATGGATCAAAATTAACATAATAAGATCATTTTGGTGTTGAACTACCTGTTTTGCGTAATCATCATGTGCGATTTTTAATGTTCGCAAAATTGACTGTAAAGTTTACAGAGAAAATATTTATTTACCTTCTAAGTAAATGTATTAAAAGTTTTCCTGGAGCCCATGTTTTATCATGTAAGACGCAATTGTTTTTCAAAAAATATTTATTTCCTCATAGAATAATATTTTAAAATTTAAGTATGTATACTTAAGTAGAGTACCCTTTAGTCGTAGGAAATCCTCTGCCAGCAAAGTAAATTAAGGTTCTATAGTTAAATAAGTAATTGCTCTCTCGTTAATGTTCATCCAGAAGAGTTTTATTGTACACCCTCAGATTGTTGTAGAAAGAACAGTTTTCAGTATTTTAGTTTAATTAATATACGCTGAACTACAAGATGAGCTGAACATATGAGGTAATAAGCGAACACGAAGAGATTGAATTATGCAACAACAATTGGTCCGCACAAAGAGTTGGGTCTTTTCAACTTAAAATCATTCACATCGTTATATTCCGATTTGCTAAAGGCTTAGTCTACTTTATAACTGGAAAACGTGCTCTACAGCATAAAGTTAGTTGAATGGGATGATGTTGAAATGCAATGTTTAAAAAACTCAAAAGTCGATAATTTTTTACACGGATAAGTTCCTAAAAAAAGTCCATATAACTTTGTCGAACTACGAAAATACCAATAGTAAATTACGACTACCACCCAATTTAGTTGGACATACAGTTTGAGAATGAATAGGCTGAATTTTAAAGTTTCTACAATATATTGTAGTATACTCAACTCAAGCGGTAATCTAGAGTCTAGACATCTTATGACTTGTAGTTGTAGTAGTGCAGTAACTAGCTTGATTGACTTGATTCATTATTCAATCACGAATAACTTCCGCCGTCAACAGACTCATTCCGTATTTCGTTTGTACTGTAGATTCTTGTTCGATTTGGTGGCCAAATTACGCGTAAATGTATCAGTTTTGGGGTTGTGCGTTTCTTATGATAAAAATCGTCCAAAAAATTTTAAAAAGAGTTATCAGACATTTGAGCATGGCTTTTCTTGAAAGTTGTTCGTAACCTGTGGTTCACACAAAACTATCGCCACTGGACCCTCACCAGGATCCAGAGGAAAACGTCAATGGAATAATAGTCTTGGATCAATTTTTTTAGTTTTAAATAGTCAATATATGAATATTCTTAAAATAAGCTAGAGATAATATTGTTTAGCCTGTGTTGAGGAATATTAGTTTTATCATGTAAACATCCTTCAAATATTTGACTTTCTCGTATCTCTATCTCTGGTCACGTGAGTTAGATGGGATTTACAAGACAATCTGAGTCACGCGACAAAACACGTGACTCAGTTTGGTAATCCATTCAATCTTAAATTAGATACGACGCTGATAAGAGGTTATCTAAGAACAAACGCTGAAGAATTGCCCAAAACAAATTAGCGTAAAACTAGGAAAACTAATTATTTTAACGTTTACTTATATTACGCCTGCAGTAATGTATATTTACCTATACAAATTGTAATTTTACTGTTCGTAATGGTGATGGACTAATTTGTGTTGCCGTATCAAAGGAGTTAAACGTTATTTACAAATGCGGAAGGTCAAAGTAGGAGCATTCGGACCGATAAACGTAATCAGTCCAAAACCATCGCTTGTAGAATAACGTAATTCTACAAATTAGTTTCACAAATGATCCGTATACTGTGTGGCACTCGGGGTCACTTTCCTACAGGTTGTTCTGTTTGGAAGATTGTGATGTTTTCCCCATGAAACCCATCTTGCAGATTCATGTAGACACGCAGTTAGCACTCCCCCTCATGCGTGGTGACGGTTTTTAGTGTCCGCCACCTTTCTTATTCTTGTTACACAATGATTGATATTTATAACCTTTTGATTTAAGCTAAGACATCCAAATCCAGTTATTTTGGCTTTACAGCTTTCTAAGTAGGCTTACAGTTTTTAGTTTTGATGTTTAAACATTGATTCTCGCCGTATCAAACTGCTTGTCTGAATCTGTACCACAACTTACATACAAATCAATGATTAATTATTAAAAACTAACTATATACAGCTTAACTTGTATTAGTATTGACTCATAGTTAGACTTATCAAAATTTCGAGTAAATGTAATACATGATAGTTGTTAGATAAATGATCAGGAACATAAATAAATAAATATCGCCCCTCATAATGGAATACCGCCTTACTCCTCATGCCTTATAAATATCACTTAGTATCATGGACATATTGAGTAGACAAAATAAAATTAGGATGTAGACATTCGCTAACAACTAATTATGAGTATGAAATCTTCTACACATATGTTTACACAAATTAATACAAAAACTCCATTACTGATGAAAAAAAAACCACAACAAGAGACATAGTAATAAAAAAAGAAATTGTTTCAATAGCAAAGTACGGGAGACTCGACCCTAGAAATTTTACATATAGGCCTATTTAATTAAATTATTTAATTTAAATTATTTTTATCCTCAGTACGCAAATATCACATTTAGAAATTCTTTCGCCAGTAGACCTGAAGACATGTCCTATAAGCACGTTCTGGTAGTTGTGCGTGAGGTTTGTATGGACATGGTTATGAGGTATTGAGTCTGCTTGCACCTGCATGTACACACGTTCCGGTCCATGATAAGAAAACTGCAGTGCTGATAGTGAAACGGAAATGGAGTTTGTTACTCATTTTTGTTATTTATAAATTTTGTTGGAGTTTGAAAATAGGTGATTGTTTAGCCTGGGAAATTAACTTTATTATTAATGAAGAAAGCTATAGCCTACCTAAATGAATAAAAATCTGTATAATAAGAAAATTTTTGTGGTGAACTCCCTTTTTCACGGAAATCATCGTGTGCGTTTTTTTATATTCGCTAACTTGACAACACTAACAGAGAAAATAATTAGTAACTTTACCGTACTAATTAACTAATTTTTGTTATTTTTAATTATTTTTTATTTGGAGTTAAACCGACTTAAAGAGTATTTTTTCCCTTGTTTTATTAGACAGCGTTTTGGAAATTAACTGGTGCATCATTATTTCTAGAAATGTTTGATAAGTTTATGATTATGGTAGAGCAAAAAATAGCTAATAAAAATCTGGAAAATAAAAAACATAAAATATCTATAGTAGCTGTTTAGAAATAAAGTTTCAGTAACGAGTCCCAGCCCCAGCCCCAGCCCCAGCCAAAGGTTGTTTTGCTGACCTCTTCGTCCTTCTTTGCAGATTATGCTCGTTGATTTTTTAGCAACTATTGTACAGTATTTAACACGACAAACGTAGGGAAATAAACACTGATTGACAGATATTTGGAACTGTTAGAGATACCGACGTTTAAATGAATGAATTGTTTTGGTTAACGAGGATCTAAAGATACGGAATTTACTATTTAATATATTAACATGTTTAAGTTTATTATGGTGATTTAGTAATTTTTAAGCTTTTGTTAACTACGCCCAATGACGATCGTGTAATATGTATATCACTGTAGAGCTGAGACTACAAAAGAAACATCAAAACTAATTAAACTTAATAGTTTGCAGAGTATGTGTGAATTTTCCTGAAAATGTATGTAGATTTTTTTTAAAACCATCTTTTGCCGAACATAGAGATAAATCAAACCATTTCCTCCTCAATCATTTATTCTTAACAAACATTACTAGTTCGCACCCTTACTTGGTAAATTTTTGTAACAGAACTTTTTTATGTTTACCTACTGTCTTAAAAATGTAAATGTTAACTGTATAAATAAAAAATGAGTTTCACCACGTTGTACATCTCTCTCTTAAAAAATAACAAGAGTTCAGCATTTACTCTCATAAAACAAAAGTTCAGCACTCGTTAAATACATTTTTTATAAAGTCCAGTAGACATCAGTATTTGATTGTAGATGTGAAAAATGCATCCAAGGTAAAAATGTGTATTTTTATCTTTTTAACCTCTTCTTTTTACCTGCACGAAGTAATACTTGGGTGTTTTAGTGCTCAGATTTACAATGATAGCTGACTCTTATTAGTAAGTGTTGATTAAACAAAAGAAGTTACAGCTGAATGTTATAAATCAAAGGAATTCTTCTGAAAAAATCATCAGGCAAAATTTACAAAGGGCTACTCGCTTTTGTAGAGCATGACCTCCGTACAGATATGCTGAACTACAATGAAAAGTGTAGACTTCCAAATCACGCTATTTCACGTAGAAACTCCAACCAATGTGTTTAAGCAAATCTGTAGATTGAATACCGACTCATACAAGATAGATGTCAAAAACCTATTTAAGCCTTTGCTTAATCTGTTTTTAAAGGTAGGTATGAATTTTTTAGGATTACTGGCCTTCTTAAGTTCAGTTTATGTACCAAAACAAAAGATAGTTAACGATGTACACAGCACGAACAATAATATGAGTCTGGTCTAGGTATATTATAGAAAAAACCATCAGACTCTAACTTAAAGAAAAGGAATGAATATAATAATTACACCCATAGTTTTGCAAGAAAAGCATTTTTACTAAAAAAGAAAATTTACAAACAATTTACAATATTTTAAAAAAGGAAACAACATTTACATGGTATAAAGACGCTTGAACAATATAGAAGAGTTGACAGAAGTATAAAAGACTAAGTTAATGGCAACGTTAATGAATATGACATAAAATGGTTAACAATACATGTTGAAATGTACAATGACTTGATATACAAAATCCCCCCTCCCAAATAAATACAAAGGGATAGAACAGACAAAAATATACAAGTGCAAATTCTAACCCTTATCTAATGGCACACTAATGATTCACAGGACTAAACTAATGACTATTCTAATGATGCGTTGCATTCTGTGCATTTCATCTTTGATAAAAGATAATAATCATAAATTCACACCTATGTACATTCAACATATATCAATATACATATAGTAATCAATGGCAATTTTGCTTGATATCATTCATAATCATACTAGTTTTCCCAAAAATTTAAATTATTTACAAATCAACAATTAACATCAATAGAAACAATTTTTTACAGTGCTGATGATTTTATTTTCCAGCAGTAAAATCTTTAATCTTTACATTGTTTGCAGTATTTTTTTACTAAATAACCCTTTGTATTATCAAGTGTTTTTTTTAGTGATTCCTTTACAGTACTCATATATTGAAAAAGCCAACTGCATTTAAGTTTAATTCAAGTTCCGATTTAATTATTTATTTTACAGAAATAAAATTAAACTAAATAAATGAATTTACACATTTCAATTCTCAATCATGAAAACATTTTACCTAAGCAAACTGTAACTACATTTGATATAGTTACTCGTTTAAACAATATTTTTGAACTGTTTAGTGCCTGTTAAAAGCAAGGGATATATTTTTTGACTACAATAATCCATGGGGTGTAATAGTTTTAAAATATTAGTTGGAATTTTGTAACTATAAGATTCACTTCACTTCAGTCATACTACTTAAACTATAGTAACAGTTGAACACCAGATTAAATAAGTATTAAACTGTTACTAGCACCATAATTATAGCCATTATATCTAGAAGTGAAAATATCTTTTGTAAGACGTTCAATAGTAAAATCACAGTCTGTAAATAGTAATAAATTATTGGGCAAATTAAAATTTCGGCTACATTATGATAAAAAAATATGTTTATTGAAATAATTATCTAATATCACATTTTAAAACTGTAAAATTTCAAACAACAATCAAATACCCACGATTAATACACATTTTCTAGTTCAGGTAGGCAAGAGTTTTGTGTTGGTTTTCTCTTTACCTCGATGTGTTCTTATAACAAGTAGTAATATTTACAACCAGTATCACTTAAAATCTATATATTTACAAGAAAGTTGTAAATTGCCCGTAAAACATCAGACCTAACATTGAAACATATTTTGTAGATATAAGGAACTATTTCACATTTATAACTAAAGTGGATTTCATTTTACACTCTAGTTTACGGTTACTGTGAAGAAATATTCCATTTATAAAATATTAGTCTTTATAAAAGACAGTAAATAATAAAAACAATATTTTCGATTTAAATTCATCATACAAAAATTGGTTAAAAGTTATGATTCCTAATATGGCACTGTTCCTAACAAATTAAAATAACAAAGTGAAAATAACAACAACAATCAAAATCACAAGCCAGCAATATTCTTTCCTTAGGACTTCCGAATTCATCTTATTCCTCAACAATTTCATCCCCTCCCACACTTATAACTATCTCAGTCTTAACCGTTTCTTTACCACATCAATACAACCCAAATCGATCAAGTCTGGTTTAAATTTATATAAAACTAAACTAGAAGTTCCAGTGGGGGCTTAAAACCCAAAGAACGCTTTGCAAAAAAAACAACCAAAAATCAGTCGATACATATTCCAATGAGAATTATGTGTGAATATAAATAATATACATATATATTGATATCATAAGGGGAATGGTGTTTTTTCTTCAAAGTGATTCTTTGAGATCCTCTCCACACGGATGGACTGTGGACTCAAGGCTGGATCTGCCTCCCTTTTCTCCTGGTCTCAGGTACTGCCTCTGAGAATCCCTAGAACAACAGTGGAGAAGTTAGTGCCTGGCTCCATACAAACATACAGTAACTCACTTAGGTCTTAAATCCAACAAGGATGAGCATAAAGTTAAAAAAATATCCAGTTTTCCTCCATAAGAAGGCATTTATTAAACTGAGCACATGGAACTTTGAATCACGCCAATCTCTATTATTCATCATGAGATGGTGGACTAAAGCATATGTAGAACGGAAGAGGAAGAGAATGTAAAGAGAGAGGAACAAACAAGTCTGGCAGGACAAGCCAAGTTTGTCCACAAGTGACCTTGACTCAACCTTCTGCCAATTTATGCAACGAGCTTCAATCAGCTATTGTTGGCCACCTTACCCTACATTTTGTGCCAAATTTATTTTCATTAGGTCCAAGACATTCCTTGGGAAAAAAGCTGTCTAGGAAGAATTTAATATGTAAACCTATTTTAAACGTATTGGATACAAAGTGGATTCCACAGTATCATGTACAGGATTTTTTTTGTAGTATAGGATGAACATTTTGAAAAATACTCTCTTAATCTATACTTATTTAATACGCAAGCAGGAATTTTGTGACAATTACTCCTCCGAAACTACAGAACCGATTGACATGTTTTTGGTGTCATTGGAAAGAGCGTAACGTGAAGTTGTGCAGGAAACTTTCTTTTTAGGGAAATAATTAGAGAGTGAGGCCCTGGGGCCCTTTAAAGTTTCGTATTTCTCCATAAGATTAACATGAGAAACAAAAATTGTTTTGAAACTCCAGCTGTTGTCAGAAATTAAATATTGATAATTGGTCTCCATGGAAGCATGAGAAAATTCACAATGTTTACTTTTGCTTTGACATTTAAATGTAAACAACCAGAACTGTCAAATGCCTATTTCACAATTTTAGACAGCTGATAAAAAAATAAAACAACTATGTGGTAGGTTTATTTAATCTTAAACTATATGATAGATTATTATAAATCTATTTCAATAATTATGAAACAAATTTTTCCCGTTGCGAAGCAAAAATTAATAGTGAAAAGAAAAAGATATGTTGTAAACAGTCAATGTGTAAATGATCGAAGTTGTATTAAAAATGTGTATAGTTTTGGATGTTGGTTTGTGTTTAATGATATAAGTTAGTTATTAAATTTTTATTTTAAGTGTTAAGGATTTGGCAAATGACTATGCCTATGATAAATAACACCATTTCAGATTTCTGCCAGTTGCCTAACTCTGTCCTGTACAGTTTAAAGTAGCCTACACCTTATTGTCTACAAATTGGCTAGATAACTTAGGTACGGTACTTAATAAAAGCTGACAGCCTTTTTACGTTGACCTTAAATTGTAAGCTTACATTTTCCCGTGCATGGGCAGTTTGATTGTTAAAAATTCACCCTTTAAAATGGAAAAGGACTGTTATGTAAATTGTAAGTATTTCCATTGGTTGATAATCTTTTAGTTGGCTCTTTTGCCCTTTTAAAATCATTGGAAATTATGACTGTTATAAGTTTTCAACCAAGTAATTTGTTTGTAAATAGCTCCTGTACTTCTTTGCAATTGCTCGATTTCGAGCAACATGTACACTAGTCTTATGTAAAAGTTAGTTAAAAATTATAAATCAAAATGAAAAAAGAGTAAGTTTAAGTAACCCATCATGCTTTTTGTATGTAATAATTATTGTTGATCAACCTCTGTAAACGTGTTGTGTTTAAAGTAGTAATATTCGCTGATTACTAAATTGAGCATATTATTAATGGGATCTTAAGTAAAAAGTTTTACGCGATAAATCAGGATTTATCATATTCAAATTATTGAAATATAAAAGCTTTTTAAATGCATAAAGTTAACTTTGAATGATTTTTGTTTAAAGTAGAATGGGCTCCAAACATACCTAATTGTTCTTCTCATAGAGTTGGTGATGGCTTCGGCCGGCAGTGTATAGCATCCTGTCACCAGTAGGGTCCATCGTTTGTTAGATGATTCCAGGATGCAAACTCTGACCAAGAGTCCATCTTAGCGAAGGCAGCATCACTGAAGCGGCGACTGGGAATAGGCATCGGTTCTGAACTTTGCCCACTTGGAGACTTCTTAACAACGACGTAGTTTTTACTGCTGTTACTATCCCAGTACTCTTTTCCTTCACAGCGGTAACAGACGCAAAACTCTATTTTCCTTGACCTAGGTGGAAGTGTTAGTTTGAAGGAGAAGGTGTCATAGATGACCTTCACAGATCCAGGAACGGCCGGCATGGTGTTGCTGACGTAGGTGCAGAAAGTGTCTTCTTGTGTCATCCAGCTGTCTGCGGAAGAGCGAACGATAACTTCTTTCTCGAAGGCGATGTTTTTAACTTTGACAGTTCCCATTACAGACTCTGCAGACTCTTTGACTATGACGTTTTCCAGGGAGATGAAGTTTTCATCGAGCCGCCGTCGGAACTCCAAGTAGTCGGATGCAGGTTGAGAGAACATACATTCCCAGGGCTCTGGTGCGACTTCAGCGTTTACTCCTTGTGTGACTAGCTTGAGGAACTGCGAGTTCCAACTGGGCGGCATGTATGAAGGCTCTGTCATCAGTCGCACCTGCACCAACAAAACAATTCAATATAATATTACAGTATGTAGATTATCAGACTTTTTTAAAGGAGTTCTTAATGACTTCGCACAATAGGAGTTATACAAATTTCACTTGGTAAAAAATCGATATTTTCTTCACAGCTATAAAGATCGTTTGCTATATGATTCATCCATATCTGAAAGTAACTAGTCAACAGGAGGTTAAGTTGTTAAGTTACCTGTGTTAAAGAGAATCCTTTATCATCTGCGAAGACGACCTTCTTCTTGAGTCTGGTGGGTGACTGAGGCTCATCGTCGGAGGAGCTGGCAGAGTCTGAGGTGTCGTGACGCTGGATGAGGCATGGCCGGGGACGGTTAGGTACAGTGTTGTGGGGACGGCGAGCGGGGGTGGGCGACTGTCGGGGGCTGAGGGAGCGTCGCAGTGCCACTGGGGATGAGGACAGACGACGACAACTGGAGTAGAACGAGGGCGGACTGTGAGACACCAGCAGGTCGTAGTCTGTGGGCATCGCCGCGATGGAGCACATTAGCACGGTTCTGCAACATCAGGATATCATAGCTTAGTTACAACTATGTATTGAGAAAAAAATTAATGACCTTTTCTTGGACATGTATTAAAAATATACCAGGCTTCATATAACAAAATTCACGATCAATACCCTTGTCATTCTCTATAATATGTACATGTCATATTGCGTATACAATACTATCAAATTGGCGTATTTAGTATGACACAAATATTTTACAAACCTCCCAAAGTGGCTAACAGACAAACAATCACAAGGTATCAACTTTCATTGCATAGATTGCAATGACCCGATAATCACTATTTTCGTTTCCTTTATGTGCTAATGATGTGAATCATGATAACTGTGAGGTGATGAGTGTTGCTGATAGTAACAACAATGAGGATTGAAGTTTATTTAACACGAATGATTTGTTGACGTTTATTTGAACCAACTGTCTTAAAAAGAGGATAACTAATCCTACGAGAGGAATACGTAACGCAGCAAACCGTTAGTTTCTAAACCAACTTTCTATAGTTTGATAGTCGCCGGAGGGGATAGTCCCAATCTATAACCAAAGTGGTTTGATTAAATAGCAGTTTCGGATAGAAAAGGCGTGTAAACCTCTGAGGTGGCCAGTCCACATTTTGGCGGAGTTGATGGGTTCATAGAGATGGCGGAGACGGGTGTGATTTCCTCGACTATTTCGGTACTGGACAAGAGCCCGGACCCGGGAACTCTTGAGCTATATTGCCACATCACTACGTATAAAATACTAATACATAGAGTTACTATGGGCGACAAGATGTGTGCAATGTGCATTGTACATTAGTATAGGGTTTAACATTCAGACAACCCGTTGACGTACACAATCTAACAAAATTTGAATAATCATAAATAACACCCTAAATAAATGTTGGAAATTAGGATAGTTTGGGTAAAATAGCAATAAGCACACACAGGGCTGGTAGAAGCAAGGTTGAATTAGGTATGTTTAACCTTTTCCTGGTTAAAAAAAGGAACAAAACCCGACAACTCGTGGTTAACGATAAAGCTAATCCATTTGACCTTAAACTTCAATCATTGATAATTTTAAGGTTAAAGTTGACTGGCCATTGTGGTTATTAATAACTCGAGTGATTACAAGTTAGTGATTGTAGAAATCACAGTTATGCACGAAATTGTAAAATTAACCTAACATTTACGTCAATCTACCAAACAATAATGTTTTTGAGTTTGAACATTGACGTAAGTGATGTTTTTACATAAATTTTACGTCTTAATACACATTTTTTTTATCAATTTTTCCTGTTATTCGCTAGAAATTTAAACGACTCTCAAGACAAAGCTAGTGCCGTACTGTTAAGACAAACATGAACTACAATTAATTAACATAGTTTAGATCAAACGATGCATTTAGAAGTTAAAGTAAATATTTAAAGGCTTTATTAACAACGGTTTGAAAATGACTTTTAGCATACCTTTAACTAATTCAGTATATTTTGGTGAAGCCAAAATACAACTTTAAACAGGTTAAACAGGATTTTATATACGTTTTTTTCTGAATATTTTGTGTATTGTAAGTTTTAAAAAGGTTTTATCTAATTTCTTTGTGATTCGTGATTAGCAATATCAGATGTATGTGGTTTTGTTGAGTTGTCGTGAAAAATTAGCATTCCATTATTATAGCCCTTCAAAACGTTTTCCGTAATTAGCTTAATTAGATACTAAATAAATAGACAAAGAAATCAGACAGAAACTAACGCAGATTTACTAGGGTACCGATCATAATTCCAATTTTATCCATTGTTTAAAAGATGACATCCTTAACGCAACTCTTTATTTGCATATTGTATCAATAGGATACACAGAAAAGTAAAACATTCTTTCACTCCTTACTAAATACAGTATAATAATCCTTTAACAAACATGAATATATAATACAAACTGTTAATTTTAGCGAAACCCAATGGTTGTATGGACTCTATGACTAGTTAAACTATTCATAGTTTCCAAGGTGATAGCGTAATTTACATAATGTAAACATAGAACTAGGTCATTGTTCGTGTGAAGTAAACAGTGTTCTCCAAACAGCGTACAGCGAACAGGAAAATGTGCCATACCAAAAATACTGTATTTATTTCAGAGCCAGTGAGATTTTAATTAAATAAAACTCAAGCAATGTAACGTACACAGATCGTAATTTGTTGAATGATAAATCTTAATTTAGAACAGGAGAAGAGGTTAAAAAAGGCTACTTACTTCGGTAAATTATCAGATAAACCATCTACAAAATTACTGTTTATACATCTTTCTAAGGGTTGTTTCAATGATTGTTTGTGGTAATACGCTCGTCATGGATTGCCATAAAAAATCTAAATGTTTAAAGAATTTGTATGTTTAAGTGAAATAAATGTACGAAAATATCGGTAAAAAACCATTGTAATTTCTATGTTGTTAATACTCGTAAATAACAATTTTTGTTGTAAAACCAATTAGGCCTACCAAAAAATCTTTTATAAAACAGGCAGACACAATATTACATTTATTTAGCAAGGTACATAGGAAAGTAAGACGACATAATAGTTGTAGATAATGTAGCTCAACCTATTATTGTCCACAGTCGCAGATTTAGAGTTTCAGACCCGAGGGCAAGATTTATCGAGGGAGGAGTGTCAACCTTTGAACGTGATGAGGGTACCCCTGATGGGATTAGACACGAGGAATTTGAAAATCCCTCAACCGCACAATAGGAGAGAAAGTCAGAGTTGGAATTGGTTAAATGTATCGGACTAGAATACCTCGCGAGGTTTTTAAACTTTTCAAAGATCTAAAGCTGGTCAAAAAATGAAGGTCAGCAGAGAGGAGCTCATTAGGAATTCAATGGAGTGAGTTATAGAGTAGGCACTTGGCAGCCCCCCAGCCACCAGCCACTCGCTGTTCACGTGATACGCTATCACCCGGCTCGTGATCACATCGCGCCACCTCGGCCTTCAACTGTTCCACCTCTACTTATGTGACTTATATTGTCAAATGTTTACTCTTCTAGTCTTTGAATGAGTTAAATTATTACATAAGTTAGTATTCATACATACATTCATATATTCATTCATACATTCACCGCACTGCATTCCGCGTAGCCAATAGAGCGTGCGAATAATTTATCCCTCGGCTGGCTTGAAAAAATGTGAGTTATACATCTCTTTGAAAATTGCAAACAAGAGTTAAGCAAATCGAAATTTTTTATACATTTCCATATAGACTAGCCCTATAGTTTGTTTTACTGATCAAAAGTTTAAATTGCGAAGAGTTTTAATCTAAACTAAATAAATATTGCTGGAATAAAAATATTTTCAATTTACTCAATATTACTGCCAGATGAAAATTAAGTAATCTTTATTTATATTAAATACAATGATAAAGGCTCGTTACCACAGATGCCTACGACCATAGATTAAAGGAGTAGAGTACTGTATACTCTTTTATGTAATGGTAATACTGAATTTAAAAGTTCAAAAAGGCCAATACAAATATTTTTTGAATATTTAAAATGTAGTATTATATTTAATTAATTTGCCAATATCTCCAATTTAAGTTATCTACTCCTTTAATCTACGCTTCGACAGAAGACTCTTGGTTGACAATGAGTGTAGTGTACTGACAACTTTTATCACATGATTTATCAACCTAAATGACTCATTATGAGATAACACTCGGAGTTACAAGGCTAGAGTAGAGTATGAGTTTAGTTTGCTATGAAGTATCTACAAAGTTAATTCTTAACTATATAAATCGGAATTTCTTGAAAAATATTATACAAACTTGTCAATTATTGCCAGCACAAACATGCTAAAGTTTGAAGCGTGACTAGCAAGATTAAACAAGTTGTCATGAAGAATTTCTTTTAAATGCTGTAATTTAAAGTAATTCTTTCGGTTTATTAAAATTTTGGTAAATATACAAATTATAGAAGTAGCTATGAAAAAACTTACCAAATAAACGTGGTTTTCTATGAATCTCAGTGGACGAATCCTGAGTAAGTAATCCTGTATTTTGCACTTTTCGCGAACTGTCTTTACTATATTTCGTAGGTAGTTCAATAACACTGTAACGAACCGACCACTTCGTAGGTAAGTATCTGTAGTGAGTGATGTGTTTGTGTGTGTCGTGTGGCGTGTGTGTGTGGTTGTGGGGCACTTAGTGTGTATGTACAGTCATGTTTGACGCCGGCGGACGACTGAAGAATGAAGACGCGGGGTGCAGTGGCTGCTAGTAGTCCGCCCTGCTGATAGTGAGCTATTCCCTCACACGAGCGCTAGTGTCGTGTCGCGGCGCCGACAGACCTGACTGTACATGTCGCCCCCGCGTGCTCACAGCTCAGTGGTCGCAGCGATAATTAAACACTTGGCCACTTCGTGTTCTCAATAGTCCACATCATCACAACTTTGTTTTGTTTTTACACAATAAGATCAATTTGCAATTTTCCTTCTACGCTTCAAAGACACGTGACAACAGCCGGGTCCTCTGAGTTATCTAAAGGTTTGTGGTTTGTAATTTGTTCGGGCCACCACGGTCATTGCTACTGCAGGGTCAATGAATCCAATTTTAGCCAAGTTAACACACGCGGTTCACCGGTTATGATAGAGGGATGTGGCTATTTCGGCGTGTTTTGTTTGGAGCACGATTGTTGTTGGTGATGTTGCATAATAACGATTACACCTAACGATCGATCGACGTAAAACAGCCGTAAGATAGTCACGTGATGAGGCTAAAGGGCTGTTTCGCCAGAAGTCTGACGCTTGGCGATGATCGCTAGAGCTACAATCGCTAAGGGCTATTTTTTCAGCAGTGGTCAGCGATAGACGCTGGCGGCTGTAACGATCGACGTTTCTGGCAAAACAGGCCTTAGGAAGTCGTAAGTATGAGCCCTTGAATAATCTTTGGTGAATAAAACAACGAACGACTTTGTGACTGTAGAGTTCTCTCTACGTCTGATTGAAGTGTCAACCCATCCTGGGATCATGACTCCAGGACGGCTGTGAGCCGTTAGCCCTGGCAACTTAGCTGCCTGTCGATGTCAGTGGTTAGTCCAGCATTCTGCGACGGAGTTGCGGGACTTGTTGCCAGAGGAGTTCTCTTACGTCTGGTCGAAGTTGTCTATCAACCGGTCTACGTTCTACGTATTCCCAGATGGTGGGGATCTTCGCAGCGGCCCTGATGGCAGTGTTCTTCACGTACGACCGAGAATTGGTGGCAGATCGAAGACTCCTGCTCTGGACCGCTAGCAGCTTCTTACGGCTCGTTCTGCAGACAAGGTGATTCCACACTGGTGCGGTCTTGTCTTCGGAACGAGCCACAAGAAGCCGCTAGCGGTCCAGAGCAGGAGTCTAACACTAACATCCGCCGTCCAACCATGGATGAACTAACCCCCGATCCATCCAATGAGAGCACGCGCTATTTCGAGACCAGTGAATGGATGGATGTACTGTAGGTGTTGGCTGTGAAGACTTATCGTGAGAATTAAAATGTTTAATGAAACAATAATTAATCAATCCCAAATTAAAAATCTAAACTAACGAAAAAATTATCATGATGGTGTGGCCTCTGGATCGTCTGAATTAACGTATAGTGGTTTAAATTACCTTGTTCTGTCCAAAACGATCATATGTAGTTCGTAGTGACTACAGCTGTTTCGTGCTGCAGGAGCACATCTTCAGGTCAGGAGAATGTCAAGCAGTCATTATATTCCTCGTGGTGGAGTTCGTCAAATTATTTATAGTAAATAAATAGCATAGACACAACATAGAAACACAAAACACGAAACTGAATATTTAACACTGGTCGACCAGACGGTAACAAAAAATTATATTGACAAACACCTAAAAATATGGCTATACTTACTGGGTATTAGTACACGAAGTTGACGTTGTGCAGGCCTGTAAGAAATATTTTAAACAGTGGTCGATTCAGATTAGACAATCTATTCGTTGTATAACAATATGTACCGTCCGTGTCCGTATGGATAATAACTAAATCCATACAACATGATACAGTAACCGTAATAGGAGGAAGGGGCGTTCTGAATGTACCCCAACCTCAAATTACAATTACTGCCCATTTGCAGTTCCCAGAGACATTGGAACTGCAACTCTGAAGTTCAAATAACGCCAAGTGCTTTTATCTACCGTAGCCCAATTACGTTTTTGACATATTAGGCCTACACATCACGAAAGCCACCAAAATAAATAGCTCTTTTACTTGTAGCATGTGTATGTGTAAACATTTTCTACAAGGCATCAATTGGCTTGGAGACAAGTATCACATGTACATCTAACAGTTGCAGTTGCATCATGTTACGTGGTCTATGTCATTCTATTACTTGTGAGATGTTCTACAATCAATCACTTGTTCACGTGTCACTAGGAGTTGATAACTCTCGGCCAGTCACAGTCAGTACAGGAGTCACTATCTTGTCACTAGTCACTAGTCAGGGTCCAAGCGGTTCACTACGAATCGCCATCACGATCAGCGGGGTCGACTTGAACGTCGCAATTATTGCAATGTGATAGAAACTGAAAATGATGCAATATGGTCGTAAAATGTAACTATACAGTACTACAGCAAGTAAAATATGTTTTTATTTTAATAATTAAGTCGACATGGTTGTTTTTTTATCAGCTCCAGATTGAGTTTTAGTACAGCTTTAATTTACTAGGGTTTTAATTAAATTGTTTGAAAGGAAATAAAAACCCAAACGGATGACAAATAGATATATTTTAAAAAGGCGAGTTTTATCCGGTTTAAATTGTGTATGTTTGTGTAGTGTGGTTTTACCAGGGTTTTACCCATCTAATCTACAGTCGAGAGAAAAGTTTAGACATCAAGCTTAGACCTCTACAGAAAAGTAACCAAAATAATTAAAAAAACATAATTAATTAGAAAAACTAAAAAATTAATTAATTAAATAATCTAAATAATTAGAAAAACTAATTAGTAATCAACATTTACCTGGTTTAATTCTACTTATTACTGTAATAACAAAAATAAAATATCTTTGAGCTTAAAAGCTTTTATTACAGGCGTTAGGTAAAACCTCTCCAAAGGACTTTGAAAATTCGCACAACGTAAACTGAACGCCAGAACTTCATCAAACATTAATACAATATAAAAAGATATATAATGAATGAATTTTTTTTTTCAGAATCTCTACTTTACCCAAACAGGTTTTTGTTGTTAATTATGTAAATTAACTTCTTCTAAAAAATCAATCGCTTGAAAAATAGAAAAGCTTGTTTTAAAGGCGATTGTTTTGGTGTTTGGAAAGGTAATTAACTTTTTTCGATATTTTTAATGGACTGAGTCCTATGACAATGCCATACATACTACCTTTGCTAAGGTATATCAATAGACTCAACCAAGGGAGTATCAGTATGTTTTATTTGTTACAGGACCCCCTGTAATCGACAACTACCTAAATATTTTTTTCTATTGATTAGAAAATAATGGTGTTCATAAAAACCCCTGTTTTGAGCAGTGTGTATCATAATATAATTTTTGTTATCTTACATTCGGAGATTCGTAATACCTACTTGTGCATATTTGTCAAAGCATTGGCAAAGTGTAATTAACTTGAAAAAACGTCAACCAATATACTGTAAATGTTTGGTTTTAGTATTTTAATTTGTTTATTTGTTATTTTTTAAGTAACGGCATTATTCAAAGATAAGTTACAAGCGTATCAATATCAATACCAAAGCGGGCTTTATTTTTAAACAATCTATTAGAGGAGAGAATTGAGCAATATTTACCCTCAAGATTGTTGGTTGTTGTTTAGTTTTATTGGAAGATGGAAATATCTTACCTCAAAATAGATCTGACAGAAGGATATTTAAACACCGATAAACAAACGACCAGATGCTTTCGAGTGTTCTGTTATAGATGATGTCTAAACTTAGCCAACGTATTGCCCGACTATAGAAGTGGCAAAACCTTATGTGAATATACAATATTATTGTTTGAATCGTTTTTAAAATATCGTATTCGTTTTAGAAAATTCGCAAATTGACAATGTAAAAAAAAAATAATTCTTCATAACTAGGACGCAAGTATATACTGACGTATATATTTAGCCTACCAAACACTAAAACTAAGAGAATTATTTCAAACAGAATTGAATATGCAAATCAAAGCACCAAATAAGCTGACATTTTGATGTAAATGTTGTTTCCAAAATATGCCTTTGAACGACATATATGGTTTGACTTGTAACAACTATTCTTTGAATCAGCCCTTGCACTTCTAATCAAATAATGATTACGACCTCACAGCTTTTTTGTCATAATAATTCTATGTAGCATTAGAAATGTTAAAGCGGTCTCTGCTGCCTCCTTTTCAACGCAATCTCCTTCAAAAACCCGTTTTACAAGTAACTTGGATAAACGATTGATATTCATGCAAGTTTTTCTTGTGTGTTCTATCATCTTGGATAACACAAAAAAAGTCTTATCAGAAAACTTTTAACAGACAATGCAGTCGATGTTATAAAAAAAAACTAAGTTTAGCCGATACTACTGCTTGATGGGCGATAGGCATAACATTTCTGTAACATCGGTGAGGAAAGCAAAAAGAAAATTAAACTAAAGAATGTTCTTATTAGACACAGAGCTAGGAATGGGTAACATTCAGCTAGGTATAGGAAAATTACATTTCCTAAGGGTCTTTCGTCCGACTCTACTTATTTAGGCCTGTATGAAAATAGAAAATACGTTATATGAAGAATAATTATAAGGGACTTATTTGGATGACATACCGTTTGACAAGTCAAAGTTCATCTGTGGGTATACCAATAACCTTTTTCTAAAAATAACATGGGGGGAATGTTTGGAATTCCTTTGAACGAAAGGAAATGTATAAGATGCATTTCACAAAATAAACAGAGGGGCAGAAAATACACGTTATCAGAACGATTGATGAATAATATACATTTACGAGAAATGTGTTACGGTTGGATAAAAAGATTCTTTGGATAGGGCACGAAATATCAATGGGAAGTAATGTGGCTAAATATACCAGATGACTGGCACGACCCCACGACGCCGCCGCCGACGTGAGGCATGCCACGTACGTCCCTGCGATGCGTCGCGATGCTGGATATAGCATTGACTATAACTACTGTACAGCCTCGGTCGTCGATCTTGGCCTTCACTACATCCAGACTAGACACTGTTGAAGTTATTAGTATTGGCATCTCCCGTTAACCTCCCCTTTCA